TCCATTAAGGAGAAGAACGAACTCGAATAAGATTTAGTTCGATGTTATCTATTACCCATATATAGGATATATACTTCTAAAACAATATGATTGTCAATTAGAAGATCTTCCAAATTTTTCATGACTCCATAAGATGTCGTTGGAAAGAAAGACAAATCTCAAGCATGTTAAGATTTGGGGTTGTGTGCTAATAAGCAATATTTGTTTGATAACAATCTTGTGGGATATCCTTAAATTAACTTTTGGATATCGCTTCTATAAACCAACTAACAAATGTTGTTTTGTTGGGTAGTTCATTGTAATCCTACAATGTGATTTGCCTAAAAGCAAATGAACGAGAGATAGAACCCAAAGAATGGGTTTTTTTGAGAGACAAGAAAGTAATCAACAAATATAAACAACCTAGTTCCTATACCACAAGCTCCAAAGTAGTCGAGAAGGATTTATAAACCGTCAAAGTTGAATGGTTTGAACTTTATGACTATGTGATAGAGTTACACCTCTTAATTCGAAAGAAATAAGAATGAAAAATCCTTATGACTACATTGAGTGTATATACGATATATACTCAAGGAAATGGTAAAGTACCATTTGACCCGAAATAATAAAACCTTCATAAGCTAATTGGTAGCTTAAGGTGACTACAATCAAAGAGAATGGTTGACTTTGAAGAAACCATCTTTGAGATAGTCTTGGTTTCAATTAATTCGAAGATAGCTAGCTACAACTAAATGGTGATTCAATGTTTGGACATAATATGGGTTTCTGAAACCATTATTAAGATAGTCTTGATAATATATGTCTAAAACTATAAATCACAAGACATGTAAGTTGTAGAGATCCATCCATCATGAATCTTAGCAAGCTAGTGGGAGCTATATGCATCTTATGAGAGAAAGTTCAAATTGTTTAATTTCTCATAAAGATGTAAATGAATCTTTTGTTTACTAGGTTTACAAAAGGTTAGTGGGAGTTAATCATGTTCCTAAAATTTAAATATATATTTGATATATTAATTTTGGAAATGAAAAGAATACTTCTTCGTTAAAGTTATGACTTTAAAACATTATATGAAGATAGAATGTATATGGGAGATATAGTCTATATACATGGGATGGAAATCTATAATGATATATTTCATGATATAATTGGATTATATCAAGCCCTAAATATAGACAAAGGATGCTAGGAAGTTTCTCATATGATGATAAACTTCAATTAGAAGGACAGCTCTAGTGAGACTAAGAAGTTGCTCTTCTCAAAGAGAACGTACGTTTTGACTCCCAAAGAAATAATGCGTAAATAGAATCCTTTATGCATATGCAAAAAGGTGATTTGTGTATTTCATATTGTATGAAAAACATTGATATGAGTTGTACCTAGAACGGTACAAGACGATATCAGTGCAAGCCCAGGATCAGAACCATGGCAACTGTCAAGTGAGTCCTTAAGTATTTAAGAAATACTAAAGGATAGATTCCTCAAAGAATGAGGAAGAATTAGAGTAACGTAAAGGAAGCGTAAATGTATTAGATTATGAATCTAATCCATCATTGGATGTTTCTTCATTATGAATGAAGAGATAATCAGATATCTCTTTATTATGACTAAAGAGATATTTAGATGGAAACATTAAAAGTAATGACTTTAGTGTGTTCCATTATGAATGCAAAATATATTGCCATATAGAAGCTTACAACAATGTTGTTTGGATGGGAAAGTTCATTTATGAACTCTCTATTCGGTTCCAACCAGAAAGTGTATCTAGTGTACTGACACTATGACACTAATGGGGTGATAGCTCAAGCCAGGGAATCAAGGTCTTATCAAGGTCCGAACTCAAATGAGAGACTGAACCACATGATTGAGAATCATGTATAGTGACGTCGTTATTCTCAAGGTTGCTTCTATGGATAACATATAGATATCCATTGTCTAGGCCTACTATTCAGCCATTTATGAAATGACTACAGAAGAGGTATCATCACTGATGACCAAGCTGATTGGCTCTAGTGCAAGTGGGAGATTGTTGGAAATGTGCCCTAAAACCAATCATATGATGATACTTTACGGACATTTCGCATGTTAAACTAATCTAGTTTAACTATAAAGGGCAAAGATTATTGTTTGAGCCGTCTCATATAAATGTTATATGCTTAAACGATAAAGTCCAAGGAATATGTGATTGGGAGAATGCGATCTAAAGAAGTTAGATTCATGAGACCATTCTTTCGTAGACACATCCTAAACGTTCCTGATCATAGGATTGCCAATTGGGCATTGACAATCCGTTAAGATCAGTACGTGTTGTATCTTCTCTCAGGGAGAGTGACTAGTCTCGAGTCATTGGTGTGTGTGACATCAAGACAAGTACGTAGGTGCTCAATAGAGAATGAGTTCACTGAACACGATCAACGAAGAGTTCTCATATTCATGTCACATGAGAACTCATGGTTGGGATAATGCAAAGTAGTCCTTTGACCTGAGGCATCGTCGTTGTCTTGTGGTTAAGTCCTTGATCTTTGATTATGTCAAACGTCATTCCATTAGAGTGTCCACGGCATCATTGGGGTTAAGCCACTTAGCCATGGAGGCAAGTGAATGCGCAACAAGGGATCTCTAACCTTCAAACTGTTTGAGGGAGAATACTCTATGATATGATTTAGAATCTCTGGCCAGAGTATGAATGAGATTTAGGAATGCGTTCCAAATCACATTCAAGGTAATCATATAAGCACACGAATCACATTGGATAGTAGACATGAATAAATAAACTATCAAACCAAACAATGTGGTCAAGAGTATTGTATTAGAGAAAGACCGTATTGCATTTGTAATCCTAAACTGAATAGGTTCTCCACCTCTTCTTATTAGCTTGGGTAACCATGATATGCTGCTAGGTGTCACTCTTGGTTTGTGGAAGCCCTAAACGTGTATAATCACTAAAGGGAGAATTGAAAGTAAGTTTCAATTCACAATCGATTTGAAAGAGTTTGAATCGCCCACTGCCTCGCTAAAAGGAACCTAATGGATCGTACACCGTGTAAGGTGGAGATTGAAGAAACAATGGAGATGAGTAAGAATAATTAAATGGTTTAATTATTTATGGCAAGGATTAATTAATATGTTAATTAATCAAACGAATAAGTTCGTTAAAAGACCTCGGGATAGTTTTGGACGTTTAGGCCCAATGGGCTTCGAACGTCAAGCCCATTGACTTAAGTTGTATGACAAACTTTAATTCACAAAAGCCCAAAAGCCCAAACAACACCCTAAGGCCGGCCATATGGTTAAGGGTAGTGAACTTGGACTTATTTACAAGTTTGCCACTCAAATGAATAAAGGTATAAATATGACTTTATAGCCAAAATTCATTAAGGGTTTTGTTTTGGAGAAAATTGGAGAGAACATGTCTCTCCATTTCTCTCTAAAGAGGCCGGCCCCTTGGAGGGTGCATCTAGCAATCCCACTACTCCAAGGTCACTCATTTCTTCTCCAATCTAACCTTGGTGAAGATACTTAGAGGTTCTCTATTTTGGGAACTTGGAGAATCCTATTCTTCCATCCAAATCCATAGATTTAATATGCAAGGAATGAAGGCCCTCTCTTTGGGTGATTAGCCTTTGCTTATGCAAAGAGGAATCTACAAAGGTATATTTCTCAACTCACTTTGATTTGAGTTGAGTCTTGGTTCACCAATCTACTAGGCTTTGAATTTCATGGTTAATGTTTTGTTTTTAAATGCATGCAAGCATGATTTCGCCTTTAATTGTTAATTGCATGCTTATTGATGTTGCTTAAATGAACATGTTTTCACAAAATCATCCTTCAATCACATGTTCTTCTCTCTTCTTAAAGAAGGTGTTGGCTAAGAAGAGATCATATGCCATTGCAAAATCCAAGATAGCTTCCCTATCCTCGTTTCTCTCCCCAAAACCATGGCCACCATGAAAACCTCCATAGTTGCCTATCTCCTTGCCCACGTGTCCATTTAAATCTCCTCCTATAAATAAGTTCTCCGTCTGAGCAATTCCTTGCACCAAGTCTCCAAGGTCTTCCCAAAATTTCTCCTTCGAACTCGTATCTAACCCTACTTGAGGTGCGTACGCACTAATCACATTGATGAGTTCTTGTCCTATTACAATCTTGATTGCCATGATTCTATCTCCTACCCTCTTGACATCTACAACATCTTGTGTTAAGGTCTTGTCCACGATGATGCCAACACCGTTTCTCGTTCTATTTGTGCCCGAATACCAGAGTTTAAACCCTGAGTTTTCTAAATCATTTGCCTTAAGACCAACCCACTTAGTTTCTTGTAGGAACATAATATTTATCCTTCTCCTCACCATAACTTCCACTACTTCCATAGATTTTCCCGTTAGGGTTCCTATATTCCACGTTCCTAAACGCATTCTACTCTCTTGAACTCTACCCCTCTATCCTAGCTTCTTCAACCTCCCCCGTCTAATAGGATCAAAGTACTTCTTTTGTGTGTCCTGTGTAAAGTTGATAGGAGCATATGCTCCCAAACAACTTTGAGTGGAGTTGTTCGAAAAGAAGTTTCTATGGCCCTTTTGCTCATTTAACATTGCATCCGAGTGCCGATGGAGATACAACGACCCTTGCTCACTTATCACTGTGCTCAGGCCACACAACACGCCACTTACGGGTGACGCCCTAGCTTTAGCACGATTTCGTTCTGGATTCATTTTCATAAGGATTCGACGTAAAATAGGAGTGCCGGCTGTCGACTACCTAACGCCCTCCCCTTCCTCCTTTATCCAGGCTTGGGACCGGCAATGTAAGATAAACTTACACAGGCGGAGTTAACTAAACTGGTACACTATTGAGAAATAATGTTTACATTTTCATTTTCTTCGTAATGGGAAGTTTGAACGAATATAGTACTTCAAGGTAGCTTCTTAATGAACTAAGGTTTTCCTAGCAAACAAGCAATGTGGTACATTTTGTTCTGATAAGACAAATCAATAATGCAGGCAAACCAGAGGATCCTTGATGCGGTTTCTACTCGCATGCAAATCCCATCAAAACAGGTGATTTCAAACTTGGCAAACTATGGCAACACGAGCGCTAGTTCCATATCGTTGGCATTGGACGAAGCTGTGAGAAGCGGGATGGTGAAACTAGGCCAAACTATTGCAGCTGCCGGTTTTGGAGCAGGTCTGACTTGGGCTTCTACCACTTTCAGATGGGGTTGAAACTCGAAACCTCGCCTCCTGCCAATACAGAACAAGAACGTCATCCTAGCCGTATGAAGCACGGTTTTGCAATTCTTGCATCACGTTCCAAATGTATTAGGTATTGTTGCATCATAATCTCCATCAGCGCCCTTTCATTTTTTTTTCTTTAGTTTTTGGCACCCTCAATAAGATTGTGTTGTTTTTCGTCGGTCCAATAATTTAGGCTTATTATATTAACACCCCACAAATTCTTAAATAAACCCCACATACTTAATACACCCCACATTTACTTTTTTCACTTAAAAATTATCTTAATGCACCCCACATACTTTTCCATAATACCCCCACACCCCACATTCTTAATATACACCTTATATTTTGTACATACACCTCATATCTTCTATACACCCCACACTCAACCTCCAATTTCCATTCATCTCCTTCTCCAACGTTGCTCCTTTCAACATAAATGGACATCCGCATTTTTTAGTACCAGTATTCCTGGGTTCTTTCTTCTTCTTATTATTTGCATTAGAATTTTGGTCATTAATATCATACTTCCTCAATATGGATCGATACTCGCCATGTCTCTCACAAGCAAATGTTATTCGAGCTCTCTTCCTCCTTCAGTCAACCCCTCCCGCATCAGACCTCTTAATGACAATAACCATATTATTCATTTTTCCTTGTGCGTGAGTCCAATCAAGCAAATCATTTTTACTTTTGAACACCTGTACATACAAGATCATTGCCATTTGCCACTAACAAAATGTTTGTAGACATGCTAAGATTCCAACCCATATGTTATTCCCTATTATGAACCTAATGCACTATGTTGCATAAAAGAATGCAAGAGTTTCCATGAAATTCACAGATGCACATTCAATATACTAAAAATAGTTACCTTGTCAGTTTTAAATGCGTTTGTGTAATTAACGACGCTCGTTGTTGCAACCTCACTGTCCCCAATAGAGGTATTGCCTTGTATGCTATCCTATTTAAATACACCAAAAATTATTATCAAATCCTCATTTATTTACTAAGAATCATACACCTCAATTATTTGTTAAGAACCATACAACTCAATATCAATAGGCAGAGTGGTACATGCCAACAAACCTGTGATGCATTTTCAGGTCCAACCTCCAAAATATTTTGTCACTTTCCAATGTTCATTTCAAGGGACATAACCAAACATTCTCTAAGACGATCACGGGCTGGATTTGTAACCTGCAAAGAAGAAAATGAATAACCAATGGAAGAAAAAAAAAAGGAATATGAAATTAACCAAACCACCGATGAAACATAGTTGAGGCCATAAGGGATATGAAAAAGGCATATGAAGTCTTACCTCATGTGAAGGTTCCGAAACATTGATTTTGTGTTCCATTCATCAAAAGCAATTTTTCTCAATCAACATGTTTGTAGTTTCATTGGTTAGGGTTTTGTTCAACAATGGAGGGTGGGAGGGTTTTGATAGTTGAGAAGATAAATAATAGGGTTTAGTGATTTGGGGTGTATTTAGAGATTTTTATTTCATTTTTTTAAAACCTAATAAGGTCAAAATTGTCATTGCATAGTGGGGTAAATAAGTCATTTAATATTAAATTTTAATGTGGGGTGCATTCAACATTTTGTGGCGTGCTAATAAAAAAAGCCATAATTTATTTGTTTTCTTTTCTTGAGTCACAAGCCAAGGCTAAAATAACAATTCTAATACTGCAACGAAGACAGCTACTTTACATCTCTTGTTTGAATTGAGCATTTTTCAAAACTTCTGTTTGTGACAAACAATACGATAATAGCGTAATTTGAAGTTTAATCATCCAAGGGATTTGAACTTGGCGGAGACAGTAGAGCACACTGCTCTAGTTGATTTGGCTAAATCCAAGTCTACGAACATTTTCCTTAAGATTTTGTTTTGATGAAGAAATTTTGAAATGACAAAATTCTATTTTTAGAATTTTAGAATTTTCTTGTTCGATTAGCCTAAAAAAATAATAGAATTTGAATATGGAATCTTTTATTTTTAAACTCTCACTCATAGAAATTTAAAAATGACACGTATTTATATGGAATTTAAACTTAGGAATTTGAGATCCCAAAATTTGATATTTTTTTTATTCTAAATTTCTATGTTTATGAATCCAAATAAAGGAATTGATGCATGTCAATTTATAAATTCTGACTTTTGTCAAAATTCTAAGTTTATTTCCTTCATCCAAACGCAGTGTTTTAACTTTAATCAAGTGGCAGTATACTTGCATAAATAACTAAATATATGTACAACATAATCAATAATTACAATAACTTCAATGCCAAGAAAGCAAAAAAAAAAATTTAAAGAAAAAAGTAAAATTCAAGTGGGTCAATGAGCGAAAACCCTAGGTTGAACTGGAACCCTAGATTTAATCTTCTTCAAAACACCATCAATTGCAAGATAAAAAGCATCCTTCTTAGCTCTCAATCCCATTGAGCTCCCATGCCTTCTATACATAACTCTTGGTATCATCTCCAACACCTTCTCCCTCATCATCCTCACTCTAACCCTAGGAATGCTCCTAAACACATCCAAAACCCTAGTTTCCTTGAACACCACGTCCTCATTCGGTATAAACACCGAGAACTCCTTGTACTGATCCTCCGGCAAGTGCCACCTGTACTGCGCTTTGGCAGACGAATCCTCAAAGAATACGGGGATGTAGCCGACCATAATGCTGTCGAATGTAGACCGCCTCATCGGGGTGTCACTCAGAGGCTGCAGGCAGAAACTAGCCTGCAACATTGGCCTCATGAACCTAATTGGGTCATGCTTACATATCTCATAGGAGCAATCCACAATGTCACACAGCTTTATGCACCCGGCACCCTCACTTCCAAACCTCCCCAAATTGTTGTTTGACGTCACATTATTTGCTTTGGTGTTGTTTTCGCACTCGTTTCTGATACTCCTCCTAATGTTCAGATTATTTCAGACACCGCCGCCTCCGGTGAACATCATAAGCGTGGTACGGCAGGACCGCCTCGCCCGCTGCAACCACGTCTCCAATAAGGACAAATTGGGCAGATGAAATGACATCAGATAAGGCACAACGTGCTCTTGCCATGGCCAGGCATGCACCTCCACCATCAGAGCGATGACATTAAAAATCTGCGGCAATTCGAGTAGCGAAGTCTCCCACAGCAGTGGATCGTTCCCCAACGGCTGGGAGAAATCCATAACGGGTCGGGCCAAAACCAAGAAATGGTCTTGACCCATGTGCCTATACCAGGAAACTGGGTCATCCCGAGTAAAAAAATCAAACAAAAGAGGCCCTGCTCGAAGCTGGAATTGTAATCGAGGCCGTAGAGATAGCGGAGGGCGTCGATGTCGGCGTAGTAGGGGAGGTAGATGGCGTCGGCAGATTGGGGATCTGAGGCGAGACATGGGTATTCGAGCATCCGACAGTGGAAAATAAGCTCCAGCATTAACGGGTCGGTTCGGTACCAGCTGTGGGAAAAATTATGGGTTTTCTGGCCGAGACCATTGTTGGCCAAGTAAGGGTAGAAGTCGTCGAACAGAGGGTAACTGGAGCATTTGGAGAGGACATCTAGGTTGAAGGACGGGGGGAGCCGTCGGATGTGGATCCAACGGCCGGTGTAGTCGGAGTCGGATTGAGGACAGTCAAGATTGTTTATGGGGATTTAGGCGGAGCATAGTCGGACGGTGGAGAAGAAGAAAAGGAGGGAAAATATGGAGATTAGTAAAGTGGACTTGGAGGCCATTGATGGGGAGAGAGAAAGATGGAGAAGATGGAGAGAAATGGGGTTATTTATGAGAATGGATTTTGCGGTTAGATTTTTTTTAAGTTTTGAAATGGTGTTGAAGTTTTTGGTAATTTTCTGATTTGTTTTGTTTTGACGCTGGTTGTTTTATCTTTCCATTAGTTTTGTTTATTTTTTTTGTTTTGTTTGTTAAAACTGCATTGTGGGGTTTGACCCGTCTATGTCGGTGGGGCGTTGGGGGATAACGGCTCGGCTAGTATGGCGGCGTTTTGTGCATCGTGGGAATTTAAAGCCCCGTTTAATTTTTTTTTCAAACCTGTTTAACTTTATAGTTAATTAAAAAATGGTAAGTACAAACAAAATATTGTGCTTATTTTAAAAATAGTTATCCCTTTTTATTAAAAGTGGAGTTATTTTTAACAATGATAGGATCTATATTCTATAATGGTACACATTATAGATGTTATGATTTTATATTTAGAGAATAAAGTGACCGTCACCACTTATCACCACAAATACTAACCTTACACCACCAGTGCTATTACTACCACAATTATTGCCACCACTACCGCAATCATAATCGCCCCCATTGCCACCACTACCGCAATCACCGTCACCATCACTAATGCCACGACTATTGTTGACGCCACCATCGCCACGATGACCACCAGCATAGGCACAACCGCCACTACTGTCACTATGGCCGCCCCTACCACCATTGTTACCTCTACATCCCAACCACCACACCCCACCATCATTATCATTGCTACCACACCATTACCACTTCATTTTTGTTATTATATACAATTATCTTATTTTTACACTAAAATTTACTAAATACTTTCATATTACTTTTCATACTTACAGTAAATTTAAAAATACTATTTGTTAAATACTCAAATGCTTATTTTATAGCTTATTATCCTTTAAAAAAAAACAGCAACACAGTTTAAAAAAAAAAGCACAACAATTCTAAACTAGCCGTAAGTATTTCCGGCACATTAAGTCACATTTTAACGGTTAACCAAACAAAAATCTCAGTTTGTAATGTTTTTGTTTGGATAAGGAAATGTTACTTGAACAACAAAACAAGTTGAAGCTTGGGTTTAATTGGAGCGTACATAAATGGATTGAATGTCCAATAATTATTAGAGTTTGGTGAAGGAACATGTTTGAAAAATTCGAAACACCCTTGAGGTGTAAGTCCAAAAATATCCAAGTTTTTTGTTGGAGTTGTTTGCAATTTGTATTTTGCCTACGGTAATGAGAGCACTGTAAATTTGGTCATAACAAGTTAAAATACTAGATACGAAGAAAATTTTATTTGTTCGCTATACAATTATTGTTATAGTGAGAGCTTACATAAGATTCAACTTTATCACGGTGAAGCAACTTTCTACCAAAAAAAAGAGGGTGAAACTCCCAAAAATCAAAAGAAAAAAAAAATGAAATATACGAAATCACAAACGGCAACTAAATATGATTGAGACATTTAATTTTAAGTAGTGAGAGCATCTCTGTTACAATTTGTCCTGGAAATTAGAGTATTTTAATTCTCAGAGGCTTGAAATGACAAAGTGTCCCTGGAAGGGAAAAACGTTGACTTCGGCTAACCTTTTGGGTCGTGACTCTTGTGACCCATCAAATTTGCATATTCTCTTAAAACTCGATGACACGAACAAGCGCAATAGGATTCCAAGTTACAATGAAAATTCTACGTAGCTATTAACTTCGAGAGCATTTTCATAATCTACTATCTTCTAGATATTTCTTAAACATTATTTTATTCTATTTGAATTTTAGGTCTAGTGGGACCCACTCCCTTCCTGTCTCTCTATCTTCCTCGGACCTGGCTTCTCTGCCCTCCCAGTTCTCATACAGTCTCATCTCCTCCTATTTGTACGGTCATGGTTAAGCCACGTCAACATTTTATATCACTATTGTTTTTTGTCTTATTATCTCTATAAAAAAATCAATATAAATGTTAACGTGGTTTAACCGTGACCTCACAAAATAGAAGAGATGAGAGTGTATGGGAATTGGGAGGGCAGAGAAGACGGGTCCATCTTCCTCACCCTGAACACTCTCTCTCATTGCTCTCAATTTCTCTCTCTTTTTCTCTTTCCTTCTTCTTTTCCGATTCAAATCGGCCTGACCCGACCGACCCAACAAGCGACACATTTTTTAATCTGGGATGGAATATTTTCAATAGCATCTTCTTAGATACTAACGTAATATTTTATCTAGTGACGGAATTTTCTCTTTTGATGATGGAATGGTGATGGAATATTCTATTGTTGGCAACCACCACCATCACCAGTATGTGGTGGTGAGTCTTAGCACATGGGGGTGTGTGCTTGGGCGCATGGCGGACTAGGGCGGCGCACGGTTGGCAATCATGGTTTTTGGACTCCGATTTTGGTGTTTAGGCACCGCATTTCAATATTCTTTGTACTATTCAATTAGTTCACTAAGTTTGGGGTATTTCTACTTTAGGATTGCTTTCCGAGGATTACAAAGAGCGTAAGAGGCGTGACGACTACGCTCTAAGGTGTGTCTTCCTAAAACTATATTTTATTATATGTTTTCGAAAATGGTTTCATGATGTGCTTTCATATCATGTTTTGCTTTGCTTTTACTTAGCTTCTGAAATTGTTTTGTGTGATCTTGATGGTTGTGATTTATATACTTCGTGAATCTTTCTTTGGAAAGTTTTACCATTGTAGTACTTATGCGATATTAGGGTTTTTGATACTTTGATAGAGATATTAACCATAACATATTTTTATATGATTTATCTTGCTTATCATGTATGATTACAATGTGTATACTGTACTGTCCCAGCCAAGGACCAGCTTCACTATATGTTCACATCCAACATTATGTTCGCATTGGATTCAATGTAGGTGTCAATCCCTAGATTGCATAGGCAACTACGACTCAGGTGAGCGTTTTGTGCCAACTTCACGTGTATGTAGTACTAAAGCGTAAATCTTATACACTTAGCTTGTTTCATAACTGAATATCTCTACATGAACTTGTGTGTCTGCATTGTCTGATGAGCATACCCTATCTGTTTATTTGATGATCGATGATTTATCTGCTTATTTTGATTTTCAACTTTTCACTAATGCCAAGGTATTATTTTATTAGCATATTACGGTTTCACAATTAGATACTTTGAAATTGTGAATTCTACTTGTTGGATTCTTCAAAATGATTTTATAATGAGAATTACTTGTTTTCCATGTCCTCTCGGATTTAATGCTTGTTCTCTATTGCCTCGGTTTTTCATATTTACAACTATGATTTCGAAAGCTGTACGGGTTTTTATATCGAGAGGTTAGTACTTTACGAAAAGCAAAGGTTTTACTAAATCTTTATTTTGCCCACTTACATCCTTTGTTTTGCACCCTCTAAGATTTAGTAGGCTTCAAAGATCTTGACGCCGTGGCGTGGTGGCATATTCTTCCCTCATCAGTGTTGGAATTTCTTAGTAAGTTTGTAATAATTGCCTTCAGGTGTGCTGCATTAGTTTACTTCCACTACGTATTTAATTAGATGCTTTAGTTCAACTCACACTCAGCGCACTCTACTATCTCTATCACAAATTTATTTTATACTCTACAATTTCTTTAATTTTCTTTTCATCTTACTCTTCACTTTCACTTTATGATTTCATCACATTTCGAGTGTCGGCCAAAAGGCTTCGGTTCAGGTATCCACTTATATATTCGGATCATTTCAGGTATCTACTTGAATTTATTCGAGTCAGGATGTGTCAATCTCCAACCGATAATGTCATAAGACATGTGGAATGCCAAATATGGGTAAAAGGCAACAAACTTTCTTCAAACTGATATGCTTAATGAGATGGAAATTGACTCCTTTTATTCAATCAATTTTGGGTTAATCTCAATTTACTACCTTGAAGTTTCGTGGTTTTCAACATTTGGTATATGAAGTTTTTTTCATCCCAGAGTCATACCTCAAGTCTTAATTTTGGGATAGTTTCATACATCCGTTAAGTTTTCCATTAAAACTTCTGTTAACTGATGACGTGGCGCCCACGTGGACAATAACTGAGCACCACATGCCAATATGGCCCACTTCAATATTAAAAAAAATTTAAAATACAAAAAAAACCAAAAACAAAAAACAAAAAACAAAAACAAAAACAAAAAAAAAAAAAACCCACCCGTCTTCTACCTCCCCCAACCTGCACCCAACCCCCTCCATTCAGTCTTCTACGTCGTCGTTTTGGTCCACGGCGACCCCCGCAACAAGAAGCAGAAGACCAAAACCCCCGTCGTGAAGTCCCCCCCCCCCACCACCTTCCTTCACCACCCTCTCTCTCTTCTCTCTCTGGGCAACCTGCAATATGAAGTGCAAGAACCAATTCAGATCCAAGCTAACTCCTGCGACATGCATCTACGCCTCCCTAGCTTCGATCTTCGATTCCTACGCAACCCCGATTCTTCTCGTCCCTTCGCCAATGGAAATTAGGTTTTTTTTTTTTAATATCGAAGTAGACCCATATTGACACATGGTGCTCAATTATTGTCCACGTGGGCACCACATTATCAGTTAACAGAAGTTCTTACGAAAAACTTAACGGATGTATGAAACTGTCCCAAAATTAAGACTTGAGGTACGACTCTGGGGTGAAAAAAACTTCATGTACCAAATGTTGAAAACCACAAAACTTCAGGATAGTAAACTGAGATTAAACCATCAATTTTTTTTACAACAACAAAACTTGTGTGGTAAGCAACATATGCCACGTCTGTTAAGTAGACCTAATAGACGAAATTATCCTTAGTGGTTAACCAGCACTAAACCTTTGCATGAGTTAGACATTAAATGCAAGATCGGATGTCTTTTTTTTTTTTTTTTTTTTTCTTTCTAAATTTGTACATACCACATTGCCACATAAAGAATGCGGCTATTTCGCTTCGAGAATGAGAGAGATTCTGATATAGGGCAAGAAAAACTTTGGACGATCGAGATTAAATCTCAGCCGATCCAATAGTCATAAATTTTCTAAATTTAATTTTTATATATATGTATATATTAACTTTTAGTTCAGTTCGGGATTAAATCCAACTATTGTCCATTATAATATTTCTTTTTAGTGGTATAAAATTATTAAATTAATATTTTTCTTATCATGTATTGGATTACCTATGTGTATACTTGGACCGTCCGGTTATCTTAACATATGCTTATCGGATTACTCGATAACGATCCGATTTGTTATTATATCAACCCGAAAACCTGTTTATTTTGTATTCTACCATGTTGGGTTAATCGGTTGTGTAAAAAATTGTCAGGCCTAGAGTAGATGGGCTCAACAAGCTAAGTATAAGGTTAGCCTAGAAGAGTCTGCTATTGTAAGATCCAACAAAATCTTCAAGAGATAATGATCCTTATAATCATGCCCCACACATTGGCATGATCATTGATGCGATCAAAATACATCCCTAAACAGGACTCTAGATTAATTTCCATCATCATTCTCTCATAATCAACTGTTGTTGCCTAAATGGGTCAGATTGCGTGGGGTCCAAACTAACCACTTAGAAACCGTCACACTTCCCTCTTTACTCATATACGAAAGTTTTACTGATTTCATATTTGGAACCCAAATCATCTTTAAATTTTGTAAAGGCCAATAGCGAAACCCCCGTATATTCCTAAAATTCACATTTCCCTCCTCAAACTCCGAAACCTTCCTCTTCTTCTTCTTCTTCTTCTTCTTCTTAACCACACCTACACAAAGCACAGAAAACCCAATAATTTCTCACAAGATGCTCAAAGCCGTAGGTAATTTCTGAATCCAATTTCCTATCCCTCTCAGAAAACCCACATCAATTCATCTCCTAAGTTCATTTCTCTGTCATAACCCCAATCGATTAATCAAATCTTTATTGCAGGTCTCTTCGGCCGGAAGAAAAGCGGCAGCAGCGGCGGCAACCGCCATTTCAAAGACTTCTACGCCGACTGGTTCAACACACTCAATACCACGCTCCTCCCTTCGCTTCAGAACTCGATGTCCGAGTCCGACTCGTCCCTGACTCACCTCTCCACTCAGGTCGAAACCCTCCATCGCCACTTCCAATCCTACTACGACGCCCTCGACCTCGCCGCCGCAAACGACGTCGCTCAGCTCCTTGACCCCGACTGGCGAAACCCTCTCGAGAAGCCCTTCCTCTTCCTCGGCGACCTCCACCCCTACCTCTTCACCAACCTCGTCCGCTCTTTCCTCAACCAAAACGACTCCGACGACGATGAAGACTACGACAACGACAGCCTAACCGTTCAATTCGCCGACGCCCAAGACAGAGACAGGGACCAACTCGAAGTCCTCTTCGACCGCCCTTGGCACATCGCGACGGCGTGGAGGAGTCAGTCGTACGATCTGATGGGCAAGCTCGAGCAGGTCGAGCGCGGGCTGAGGCTGATGGTGCCGGCGCTGGTGGCGCGCGCGAGGGACGCTCAGGCCGCGTTCTTGGAGCACGTGGGGAGGAATTGGGATTATGGTAGCGGTCTGCAGAAGCCGGCGGTGGCGGAAGCTATGGCGGAGCAGAATGAGGAGATGGTGGGGGTTTTTGTGGATGCGAATCGGCTGAGAAGGAGTGTTCTTGTGGAGATCCTTGGCACCACCAGCGTGTTCCAGGCGGCTCTGTTTCTTGAAGGGTTGGCCCAATTTCTTGTTGGGTTCAGAGACCCTGAGTTACTTGCTCAGTTTGATCTCTGCAAAACGCCTCTCGGGAAGCAGAATCGCTTGGCGATTTGATATGGATTCATCTTTTTCAAGGTTATGATCATCTTAAATTTGTTAATTTGGCAATGAAGTTGACATTTCAGATTAATTTCATGCTTACTGTGTGCTGGTACGAACTTAATTTGCAATTTTTCAAGGGGATGCTATCCACACATCTCATTTTGTTTCTCATACAACCCTTAATAATTTTTGTCCGTTGATCTTCTTCAATTCATCCGATCCGACGGTTAAAAATTAAAAAGATGCGTGAGAAGTAAAATGGAATGTGTGGATATTACACCCCTTTTTCAAAGGGGAGTAGAGAAATTTTTCATGTAAAGTTGTTAAGTTTGGCATTGAAGATGTAAAGTTTGCAATGTTTGCTCTTTTGCATTTGTTAAGGTACAATTTTTCAAGTGATCTGATTTGGCATTGAAGATGTAAAGATAGAAGCTTGGTGAATCAATGTTGTTGTTGTCTTTTGATATCCTTGCAACACCAGCCAGAGATTATTGATCAGAAAATTTTGTGCTAAAAAATGGATGTTGGTTGTGAACTGATTTGTCCATTTATGCAGAATAGGGTTATGGGTTTAACATGGAAAATTTGGAAAAATAGCCAAACCTTGATCCATGAATAGAATTTTGGTCAATCATTATAATGTACCTTAATTGGTTAAATTGCACAAAACTACCTCAACTATGTGTTACACCACAATCTCATACCTCATCTTTTAAACATTATAATATCATACATCGTCTTATGAATTCATTGCAATGTCAGATCTCCGTTAACTTTTCTGTTATTTTTTTATCAAATGCTAATGTGGCAGACAAGAAGCCCACTCGTTGCCTAATTGAATTAAAAAAAAATTAATTAAATAAAAATAAACTAATAATTTTTTATCTAAACAAAACTTAAATGAAGAGTGGGGAGGGAAGAGAAGAGTTGGGGGGGGTGGGGGAGGGAGATTGTTGTTCGATTTATAGTTGAGGTAGTTTTGTGTTTTACCTTAATTTATTTATAATTCTAACCAAAACTTGACTTACAAATATTTAAAATGTCCTTGTTGATTGAAAATTACCAACATAAAATTTCAACCCAATTTCTGCAAAACTCTTAAGAATTGATATTCAGACTCAATTGAACTCATTGCAATCAATTTCGAATCAAAATTCGAAGCTGCAAGATTTCATATAATTTTCTAACAAATTTTCTTGGGAAACAAACAAAAGGATGAATGAATGAGAAAGAGTTCCAAAACACAGTGGTGCTAAGAAGCGGCCAAGAATCTCAAGGGGAGATGAAGAAGAAGAAGGTGAAGCTTTGCCTCATCTTCTTCCACCATACCATCCTTTTATGTTCTTCGCTTTCAATGTTTGCAATTAACTCCTTGCCATCGCAACAAATTTGGGAAGTGTGAATTCAGGGAAGCTAAGAAGAAATGGCTGCAGTGGTAGGCAATTGCAAAAAGGGTTGAGAAATCGAATTTGAATTCTTTGATTCTCCTGACAAGATAGTCAGGTATTTTGATTTTCAGTTTAGAACGGGTGTGTGGAGAAATTAGGACTCAATCAGACGATGGAGGATTTAATATTTAGTTGGTCCAATTTGGAGGTTTTGGAGCTTCGAAGCTTCACTAACCTCGATGATCGTTGGAAGATCTGTAGCAAAAGCATTAAAAAGCTAGCCATATGATCGTGCAATCAATCAGACGTTTTGGTTTGATGCCGGTAGGGACGAAAGAATAGAAGTTGCAGAACATAGTTTTAGCAATTTCCAAGGCTTAAATGTTAAAATGGTCCATTGTTTTAAACTTGGCCGATTTGATTCTTGTGTTTATCTCCCTTGGCTAATTAAGAACATTTCTATCTAATTTTTGTAAAAAAAGTTCTATATGTTGTAGGCCTATTTGATTGAACGATCTAGGGTTTAGAGAGAAAGAGGGGGCCGGCCACAATTAGAGAGAAGAGAGAGTGATTTAATTGTGAGGTGTGTTTGATTCACCCCGTTGTGCCTTTACTTATAGTAGTAGGATATGAAAAACCTTTCCTTTTAGGATGACAACATTTAATAGGTAATCAACTCCTATTAGGAATATAAGATACATTTTCATATCTACTAGGATTTACACAATCACATTCATATTCTAAATATGACTGCAACACTCCCCCTTGAGTGTGTAAATACTCAACAAACCATCACATCAGATCTTCAACAAATAAGGTAGAGTAGTTGTTGCAGTCATTGGCACAACGGGTAATCGTGAGTCTCAAATTTAATTGAAGTATGCATTTGTATTAAAACTCACAAAACCTCGTTATGGTAAAACCCAAGGCATAGGGAAAACCCATAGACTAAGGAGAAAAGTGAGAAATATGCATAATGTCTTTAAACAAACGTCAAACAAGACAAAGGTAGTGAATCAACGGAGTATGATCATCCCAAGATGGGTGCCTCATTAAAACCTTGTTAGGTAGCAAAAACCTAATAGGAAAAATGCTCATAATTGTAGGAAAAAAGTACATTAAGATCATGTGAGTATGCTTCTAGATACTCCTCCTAAGTTAGATATAACTTCTAAATAAGAGAATTACAAGCTAGTCAACTCAGATAATTTACGCATACCGATTCTTTGGACGAGCTTCTGAAATGTAGACTTGGGCAATGACTTGGTGAAGAGATTTGCCAGGTTGTCCTAGGAACGGATTTGCTTGACTTCAATGTTTTGATGTTGCTGTTGTTGGTGTGAGTAAAAGAACTTCGGCGCTATGTGCTTGGTGTTATCTCCCTTAATGTATCCCTTCTTTAATTGCTCGATACATGCTGCATTGTTTTCAAAGATCGTCGTAGGAAGGTCAACGACTGATGTAAGACCATTAGTGCTTCAGATATGTTCCATAACTTCTCTCAGCCAAAAGCACTCATGTGATGCTTCATGCAAGGCAAGAATCTCAGCATGATTCAACGAAGTTGCAATTAGGGTTTGTTTGGTAAACCTCCAAGATATAGCGATGTCTCTAACGGTAAAGATAGCCCGTTTAAGAATGTGCCCTATGTGGGTCAGACAGATATCCAGCATCTGTGTAACCAACAAGGCGAGAATCAATCCGTGAACCATAGGGGACGGCAACACTCGGAGATTCGCGGGTATAGAACAAGCCTAAATTTGTTGTACCCTTGTGGTAGCGGAAAATGTCTTTACCACCATTCTAGTGCCTGTGTGTGGGCGCATTGCTGTATCTTACCAAAAAATTAACAGCGAATGAGATGTCGGGTATAGTGCATTGAGCCAAGTACAATAAAGCCCCAATTGCACTTAGATAAGGAACTTCGGGTTCCAAAATCTCTTCCTCATCCTCTTTTGGACGGAAGGGATCTCGTTTAGCATCTAGGGTCCGAACAACCATATGAGTACTCGAAGGCTTCACTTTATCCTAAAAAACGACACAACACCTTTTGGGTGTAGTTCAATTGATGTACTAAGATTCCATTCAAACAATGCTCGATGTCCAGGTTGAGACAGTATCCAGTTTTCCCAAGATCCTTCATCTCAAATTCTGATTTCAAGTGTGCAGCAATTTCCTCAAGCTTTGTAGGAATCCCAATGAGGTTCATGTCATCGACATAAACTGCAACAATTGCAAATCCAAAATGTGACTTCTTTATGAACACGCAGGGGCATAATTCGTTATTCACATAACCCTGACTTGTCAAATATTCACTTAGACGGTTATACCACATCCGTCCGGATTGTTTCAATTCGTAAAGTGACCTCCTTAACCTAATTGAGAGAGTGTTCCGTGGTCTAGAACTATTTAAACCAGTCAATGGACGTCATTCTGGAACTTTCATGTAAATTTTTGTATCTATATCCCCATAGAGATACGCGGTTACCACATTCATAAGCTGCATATTCAGTTTTTCAGAAACTACCAAACTGATTAGGTAGGGGAACGTTATAACGTCCATTACGGGGGAATACGTCTCCTCGTAATCAATCCTAGGACGCTGAGATAAGCCTTACGCTAAAAGACGTGCTTTGTATAGCACTATTTCATTATTCTCATTACGCTTCCTCACGAAAACCCACTTGTAGCCAACAAGCTTCACGCATGATGGTGTAAGAATGATGGGTCCAAACACTTTACGTTTCACGAGCGAATCGAGTTTGACCTGGATTGCTTGTTTCCAGTTTGACCAATCGGTTCTGCGTCGGCATTCATCGATGGAATGTGGTTCAATGTCATCGCTAAGCATGATGTCAGTAGCTACTAAGTACGCAAATGCATCGTTGACGATTATCTCATTCCTATTCTAAACCTCATCCAATACTGCGTAGTGGACTGAAATCTCACGATTCTCGGAAGGCCGGCATGTTTCGTCTAAAGCATCACCATAATCTAGAATAACCTCATGCGTTGGAATGGATGAGTGAGCAATGGTCGGATTCAAACTAGGGTCACTAGTTGGTGCCATTTTCCTCTTCCTGGTTTGTGAATCCTTTGAACCAAGAGGTCTGCCACACTTCAGGGTCGGAGCAGATGATTGGATAACAGCCAATGTATCTTGCCACATGGAAGGTGCGGCCTTCCCACCTTCAGGGATGGTCCGGCCTTCCCAGGCAGGTTGTTGACGTACGCGAGGTACATATATCCTTGTAGGTGTGTTTTCAGAGGGTATATGTGATCTTGTCACCTCTGCTAGATCATTAAAAGCATCTAGCATGCTTTGAGCAATGCTCTGAAGATCTATGATTTGTCGCACGTCAGTTTCAGACTGGGCAGTGAGGGGATCTAAATGAGACATAGTGGGAGCATACCATGACAATTCGCGGCGTTCTACGGGAACATTAGCATGCTTATCTCCCCATAACGACAGGAAGATTGTCTCATCAAAGTGATAATCTTTAAAACGTGCGGTAAAGAGATCTCCTGTCAATTGAAGGCGCTTTATGAAAGCTTATGCCATGCCGTTTTGGTTGTGAACATAGGGTACAGGATGTTCCACATCAATCCTTACTGATATTCAATAATCGTCAAAAGTCTGTAACGTAAACTCTACAACATTATCCAGTCGAATCGACTTAATCAAATAATCAGGGTGGTGAGCCCTTAGCTTAATGATTTGGGCTAGGAGTTTAGCAAACGCGGCATTGCGTGTGGACAACAGGCAAACATGTGACCATCGTGTCGATGCATCAACCAACACCATAAAGTATCTAAATGGTCTGCAGGTTGGTTGGATAAGTCCATAAATGTCCCCTTGAATCCTCTGAAGAAACTTAGAGGGGTCGTGAATGATCTTTGGATGTGAGGGTTGAGTATTCAACTTCCTTAAAAAACACGCTTTGCATGGCGGAACTTCGACATAGGGATGTAATTTATGCCCATGTGAAGATTTAAGGATCAGCACATCATGTCGTGTCCAGGATGTCCTAAACGGTCATGCCAAAGCAACAAAGTGTCATGGAACTCAAGCA